CTGCTATAAGAGTTGGTGAGGCTTGAAAGAAAACTTATTTTAATCAAAAATCCAAGAATGCAATTTTATAAAATTGTCCTGAACTGCAGCAGATTAAATGATTGCTTCACACATGATGGCTTGTAGCCCACTAGCTCTTCCCTTGTTTTCAAGATCATAATTAATTCTGCCCATTAGGGGTTCAGGTTCTTGCTCTCCTTTGCACCACCCGGATTTTATGAGGATGCAGTGCTTTCCTGGCAGCTCAGAACTGTTTTCTTCTGGAGATTGCATCCAGGAAGGAGAGTGGAGATAATATTGAGTAGATATTTCTCTTCATTGGCCTAAACTCAGCCACAATTTTATGGTTTGAAATTCAAGAGCCCCCTTTTCTACAGCAGTGAAAATCTAAGTCATTTCTGCTGACTTGCTGAACACAGTTTAAAAATTTCATCATTCAGGAAATTTCAAGAACTACTGCATTAGAAAAAGGCAAAGACCCTGATATGGAGCTAATACAGTCCCGAGGACAAGAAAATGTGAATATTTTGATTCCTATAAACTAAATTTGCAAAAATATTTTATCTGAAGATAAAAAATTTTTTTAAATGTTAATGTTATTTATTCTTGAGAGAGAGAGAGACAGCATGAGTGAGTGAGGGGCAGAAAGAGAGAGGGAGACACAGAATCCAAAGTAGGCTCCAGGCTCTGAGCTGTCAGCCCAGAGCCTGACACGGAGCTCAGACTCACAAGCCATGAGATCATGACCTGGGCCAAGGTCAGACACTTAACCAAGCTGAAGATAAAATATTTTATTTTATTTTTTTATTTTATTTTTTACAAATAGTTTATTGTCAAATTAGTTTCCACATAACACCCAGTGCTCATCCCCACAAGTGCCCTCCTCCATGCCCATCCCCCCTTCCCCCCCACATCCATCAGTCCTCAGTTTTTGTCAGCATTCAAGAGTCTCTCATGGTTTGCCTCTCTCCCTTTCCCCCACCATTTCCGCCCTTCTTCTCCCCCTTGTTCCTCCGTCAAGTCCCTCCTAATCCTCCTATACGTGCAAACATATGATATTTGTCCTTCTCTGCCTGACTTATTTCGCTCAGCATCACACCCTCAAGGTCCATCCATGTTGCTACACATGGCCAGATTTCATTCTTTCTCATTGCCATGTAGTATTCCATGGTATAGATAAACCACATCTTGATCCATTCGTCCGTTGATGGACACTTAGGCTCTTTCCATGTTTTAGCTGTTGTGGAGAGTGCTGCTATGAACATCGGGGTACACGTGCTCCTATGCATCAGCATTTCTGTATCCCTTGGGTAAATTCCTAGCAGTGCTATTGCTGGATCATAGGGGAGTTCTATTGTTAGTTTCCTGAGGAACCTCCACACTGTTTTCCAGAGGGGCTGCACCAGTTTACATTCCCATCAACAGTGTAGGAGGGTGCCCATTTCTCCACATCCTCGCCAGCATCTCGAGTTCTCTGATTTGCTCATTTTAGCCACTCTGACTGGCATAAGGTGGTATCTCAGTGTGGTTTTGATTTGTATTTCCCTGATGAGGAGGGATGCTGAGCATCTTTTCATGTGTCTGTTGGCCATCTGGATGTCCTCTTTGGAGCAGTGTCTGTTCATATCTTCTGCCCATTTCTTCACTGGGTTGTTTGTTTTTCGGGTGTGGAGTTTGGTGAGTTCCTTATAGATTCTGGATATTAACCCTTTAAAAGATAAAATAATTTAATACTGACATTTCTCAGTATCCTACTGTGATCTCCATTTGATATGGATATGATATAAGATCTCTGTTTTGAGGTCATCTCTGCCCTTATAAAACACAATGATAAAAGGGAACCATGTTTACAACAGAATCACAAACCCTTGGTGTTCAAGACCAATAATACCACTCCTAAATGGTATTCATGTTTCATAAATGTGAAAAATGACTTGCGTGGGTCAGCAGACATAGCAAAATAGATACTTTGAAATAGTAAAAAGTTAGAAACAATTTACATGCCCATCAACAGAAAACCGCTTTTAATATTATAGTAAAGATGTATGGGGAATACTGTATCACTATTATCAAAAAATGGACCAGGGCAGTGGGTGGCTCAGTCAGTTAAGCCTCTGACTTTGGCTTAGGTCATGATCTCATGGCTCATAAGTTCGAGCCCCGTGTCGGGCTCTGTGCTGACAGCTCAGAGCCTGGAGCCTGCTTTGGATTTTGCGTCTCTCTCGTTCTCTCTGCCTCTCCCATGCTCACACTCCATCTCTCAAAAATAAATAAACATTAAAAAAATTTTAATGGATAAATCTCTTATTTACAGATATATAAATAGAAACATTCATAAAAGTGTTTATAGTATTCTAGCATTTGCATAGATGAAAAATATATATATATATGCTTATAAATTCATAGACTATTTCTGAAAGAACCTGGAAGGTAATAGGAGTTGCCCTCAAAGAGGGGAAATAGGACCTGGGGACAATGGAGAGAAAGAGAATTTTTTTTTCCATCATATAATCTTCTACCTCTTCCTTTCTGTACTATGAGCATGTATTACCTAGTAGTAAATATAGTTTATTTGATGATTCCTCAAGAAATTAAACATAAAATAACTGCATGGCCAAACAATGCCATTCCTGGGGATATTCCAGAAGAACTAAAAGCAGGGACTGAGATCTATATACCAGTGTTCACTGCAACATAATTCACAATAGCCCAAAGGTGGAAACAACCCTGGTGTCCATAAACAGATGCCTGGATAAAGAAAATGTGCATTATATATGTGATGCAATATTATTCAACCACAAGAGGGAAGGAAATTCTGACACATGGATGAATCTTGAGGATGTTATGCTAAGTGAAATAAGTCATACACGAAAGGACAAATATTGTATGATTCCATCTAGAGGAAATATCTAGAATGGCAAATTCATAGAGACAGAAAGTAGATTGGAGATTATCAGGGCTTTCCAGGGAGGGGAAACATGGGAGTTATTGCTTAACAATCACAGTTTCTGTTTAGGGTCATGACACATGACAAAGTTTTAGAAATAGAATCATGATTGTTGCACAACATGTGAATATAATTAATAATACTGTATGGTATACTTAAAAATGTTAAAATGGCACATTTTGTGTTATATATATTTAGCATGATAAAAATTCAAATAACATGTAATTTAAAGAGAAACTTAATGTAAGCTTTGCAGCTTGATCTCTTCTCTATCTGAGGCTTCACAGGAACAACCATACTTCCAACCCAACCCCATTCTCCCAAAGCAGATAATTCGAGTGCATACCGTGTGCAAGGATCCTCTATGGGGCACTGCCCAAAATAGAAAGATATGTGGATATATGCCCTGTGTTTCAAAAGAGCTTATCACATAGCCTAGGCAGCAGATGCATGTGTTACTAAGGGTAAAGCAAAAAGGGTGTAAAGCGAAAAGGGTGCTGAGTAGATATCCGTGCCATGTGCCTTGGGAGTCCAGAGGCAGGAGCAAACCAGCTTTGACTGGAAGATTCAGGATGACTTGACCGAGGAAGGTGCCTTTTAGCTGTCTGGAAGGGAAAAGTGGAATTCTATGGGCAAAAAGGATATTCCAGACTCAGAGAGCAGGTGAGCCAACCTTCCTTAGTAGAGAGGTGCACCTCAGAGCAAAGGGCAGTGGTCTGGCACTGGACAGTGGGTCTCTCAGGATCCTATGGAAGGTGATTCTGGAAAGGCTGTTGAGGCCAAGTAGTGTCAGTTTTTAAGTGATTTAACTTATTTGGACTTTTAAATACTGGTGATGGGGAAATAGCTTAGGTATTTTTTCTGTTATTTCCCCACTATCTCTTTTACCATTTAAGGCTGTGAGCCTCTTACTCTTATCAGGCAGAGAACTTGAGGCGTTTACATTCTTTAAAATTCATTTTTTCCAGCTCAAACTATGTTTGCCATCTAGTGATTAATCCATGCCATTGCAACAATTTATTTCAGATGCCTTGATCATCAGCGATGAGGTTAGTCTCCCGGGCCACAGACCCCATTGTGCTGGCTATCATTCCTGCCCTGAACTTCACCTTCCATGAGCCCTGATACATACACTGGTGTTTGGAGATATTGTAATGAAATCTGACCCCTCACAGAGTAGTAGTAATATTCACATGAGAGAAAAATGTAGTTGCTTTGAAGAAAATGAACCTTAGAAATGAAATTTTAAGAGAAGTTTAAATAGCAGCATCTTTATGTGAATATGGATCTTCCAGATCTATGGACAAGATTTCTTAACCACAATAGATACCATAGCCCTTTCCAGCTTCCACTTCTTCCTCAGTATCCCATAAATGGAGGCAAGGACTTTAACAGCGTTGCCTCCAAATAGTGATACGTATTTGAAAATGATTCTCCAATTTTTTTTTACCTTCCAAATGGAGATCTAAGTAAGTAGCCCCACGTCCTTCCTTTATTTGTTCCAGTAGTAAAGGCTACTGTAAGAGTTTTCTTTCAAAAGCTAGACTCCATCAGTTGGAACAGTGGGCCAAGAAATGATGAGTTATATATGCAGAGGTCTTAAAAATTGTCACTCAAAATTCTTGAAGGGCCCAGGATAACATTTTGCAGCAGAACCAGTTTTCAGAGCTGAATGAGACTTTCTAAGCAATGATGGTACAGCTTGTTACACATAAAACTACTACGATGATATATTTTTCAAAACTTTGTGATTACCCTCACCCCACCTTCCATGTGTTCAAGCATGAGTTGCTTCCAGTAGATTTTGTCCTAGGAAGAATTATGCTATAGACAGTGTAGACTTCCCACTCTACTGCCAAGTTCAGCTGATTTTTCAGGTTGTTATGAACTGTTACCTAGATAACAGCTTCTGGCCGCCAATCCAATGGCACCTTCCAAGCCCTGAAATGTGATAGAATGTATTGTAGGAAGCCATTAGCTCAATCTCTAAAACCATGTGAACTGCCTAGCTATATCATTTTTTGGTGAATCACTCTGCATCTGACTTTTGTAGGGAAAGCCAGAGATACCGGGTATATGTTGTGATACCACTGCTGCCAGGATTTGAAGGAGACATTTCAACGGGTGGAGGAAATGCTCTGCAGGCAATAATGCACTTCAACTACAGGTGCCAAAGTTCTAAAGTCGTCTGTTTTCAGCTTTCTATCAGTCACGCATGTAAGCTGGTGAAAGGAATGGAAATGTTTCTCCACATCTATTCAGGGAGTGTTGAACAGATGAACACTTTATTTTACTTTTGAATCTTGGCCTGTTTACTAGTTGATAAAATTCAAATAGAGCCTAAAATCATAAATGGCAGGCCTGGGACACATGGAGAATATAAAAAGAACTAAAATATAAAGCTTTTATTCATTGCCTACATGCAAGACATGCATATACATAGATCTTATAAATGGAGACAAAGACTTAATATATATATATGCATACACATACATATGTAGATATATATTTATGTATGTATATGTACACACATATGTATGTGTGCATATGTATGTATGTATTATATACGTATAGACTTATATATAATATTTATGTATAATAATTTAAAAATGATCTTTAAGCCACCACATAGTTACTGAGCTTTCCATATTATTTGAAGAAAAAAAATTAAATTTCCATGTGTTTGTTTATCATTCTTTAGGTAGCAAGTTTTTCCCCAAGGTTGGTCATGGTAGCCTTTGCCAGAAAATGAAGTATTCTTTACTATCTTCTGGAATTTTAATTCTATTCTTGCTACCCCATCTTTGTTAAAATTTTAAGTAAAGTATTAAATCCTGTTGTCGATATTCTAAAGAGAAGAATTGCCATATTTACTTAAAAAAGACCTGGGAAGCTTCAGACTTGGCCAGTAGAGAGTTATGAAGAGGGTTAGAAGGTATGTCTGGTGAGCAGACAGAGAGGGAGTATAGAAAATGATGGGAAGGCACCCCTAACATTCTGTCTGGGTCACTTAGCTGGAAAAGAGAATGGGAGTGAAGAGGTAAGTGAACAGGCCTGGGCATGAATCCCAGCACCCAGTTAATAAGCTCTGGGACCTAAGATACCAGAGAACCCTGCTGAACATCGCATTTGTGAGAAGTCAAAGCAAGGACAGGAACCTGGATGTTTTCTTTTAATATCCCTTGTTCTTCAGAACCACCTGCAATTTCCCACCTTTCTAACCAAACTCTTTTATGAGGGAGGGGCCAATGAGGCCTGGCCCAGAACCCCCAGATAAAGTTGCAAGAGTTTGGTCAAATTAAGGGTAGGGGCTTACATGCCTTCCTGCTGCCCACCCCTCCGGTCCCCTCTGCAGGATCTGAGGGTCCTCTAGACACAGTTTGTGGGCACCATTGTGGTGATTTTTTTTTTTAATCTTCTTGTTTCTTACTGACTGAACTCTTTCTACCAACCAGGATTTCAAGTAAAGATTTTTTTTGTTTCTTCGGGGGTAATTTTGCCTGATTACAGTATGAGAGAACTTTAAGTATGCTTTGGGCTATATATTTTGATTGAAGATTTGCCCATTTCTAGTATTATCTGATTTATAACATGAAAAACAAAGCTTTTCAAGTATTTAAGGCACTGACATAATGTTTAATTGGATTTTATCCACTTCATTTGCCATTCTAATATTATTTTTGGAATATTGTCAATTGTAATTATTTTCTGTGACTATTTTCTTGGGTTTGAACCAGCTGAATGAAATAACACGCTTGGCTTTTGTTCAGCAGCTAAAAATCTAACCTTTTATTATGCAAAAACATCTCTATTTGCTGGCTTCATCTTTAAGAATATCAGTATTTCCCAGGGATAACTGTATTTTTAATTACTTTTATAGAGCAAGCAGATGGAACTTGGAATGTTTTGTCAGTCATTATAATTCATTGACTATTATCAGAGTTCTGAGAAATGAAATCATTAGCGGAGTCAGTTATCTGCAACTATATTTTTCACTTTCAAGGCGTTTGCCGACTTTGCAGAGACAGCCAAGGTGCATAGTTTCTCTAACTCAGAAATTACTCTGCTAAGTCTTTGCCCTTTTTACCTCTGAAAGTAATGTGAGTCTGTAAGTGTTCTCATCTATTGAGTTATTCTAAATTTATCGTAGCTGTCACCAAATTTTCTAAGAGAGAAAGTTCATTCATAGCCCATCTTTTTAAAATAGCATCTCTTTCTGCAATCTAATGTCAATTTTATGACATTTCCATTTACCTACCTCAAAACAACCTGTCCCTCAGTACCATTATGAAAGTGATATCCAGGTGGTTTTTTAGCTTCTTAAAAGTCCATGTAGCATCTTCTCATAAAAGCACTCATTCTGTTTTTACTTGGGGGTTAGGACTGTCTTCACAGATATTGCAATTGGGATTGGTTCCTTTGAAACCTCTGTAATTATTTCTCTCCTTTCCATGTGTTCAGAACCATGTGCAGAGGAGAAAATTCCATCCTTGGGCAGTTAAAAGCAAAGCGTAAGTAACAGCTTTTATTTTCCTCCACAGTTGTCTTTGGTGGCATATCCATAATCATTAATGTTTTCATAGTGTGACTTTGAAACTCTTCACAAGAGGCAGCCCACAAAATGTTTAACTGAGTCAATCACTCATTCTCATTAAATTGCCCAGAGCAATATTCAAATGAAGACGTCACAACTTCAGATGCATCAGTAATGAAAAATAAGAGTATTTTCATTATCTATAATAGTTATTTTGTTTTTTGTTGTTTTTTGTTTTTTTTTTTTTACAAATAGTTTATTGTCAAATTAGTTTCCACATAACACCCAGTGCTCATCCCCAAAGTGCCCTCCTCCATGCCCATCCCCCCTCCCCCCCACATCCATCAGTCCTCAGTTTTTGTCAGCATTCAAGAGTCTCTCATGGTTTGCCTCTCTCCCTCTCCCCCACCATTTCCGCCCTTCTTCTCCCCCTTGTTCCTCCGTCAAGTTCCTCCTAATCCTCCTATACGTGCAAACATATGATATTTGTCCTTCTCTGCCTGACTTATTTTGCTCAGCATAACACCCTCAAGGTCCATCCATGTTGCTACACATGGCCAGATTTCATTCTTTCTCATTGCCATGTAGTATTCCATGGTATAGATAAACCACATCCTCTTGATCCATTCATCTGTTGATGGACACTTAGGCTCTTTCCATGTTTTAGCTATTGTGGAGAGTGCTGCTATGAACATTGGGGTCCATGTGCTCCTATGCCTCAGCATTTCTGTATCCCTTGGGTAAATTCCTAGCAGTGCTATTGCTGGGTCATAGGGGAGTTCTATTGTTAGTTTCCTGAGGAACCTCCACACTGTTTCCCAGAGGGGCTGTACCAGTAGTATATGACCCCTTTTAATATAGCATTACTCTCATGTGCAGGAAACATAACAAGCTTTTAAAACATGCAAAAAACAGAAATGTAGCCAAAATGACAAGATGGAGGAATTCTCCCCAAAAGAAAGGTCAAGAAGAAATCACAGCCAGGGATTTGCTCAAAACAGATGTAAACAATATATCTGAACAAGAATTTAGAACAACAGTCATAAGACTACCAGCTGGGCTTTAATAAAGCATAGAAGACACCAGAGAAACCCTTGCTGCAGAGATCAAAAATTTAAAAACTCATCAGCATGAATAAAAAATACCATAGTTGAGATGCAAAATAAACCAGAAAGAGTGACATCAAGGATTGAAGAAGCAGAGGGGAAAATAGGTGCGATAGAAGATAAAATTATGGAAAATATGAAGTTGAAAAAAATTGAGAATGGAAATTAATAGTCACAAAGGGAGATTTAGAGATCTAAGTTATTCCATGAAAAGAAACAATATCCGTATCATCGGAGTTCCAGAAAAAGAAGAGTGAGAAAAAGGGGCAGTTGGTGTATCTGAAAAAATTATAACTAAGAACTTCCTTAATCTGGAGATGGAAACAGGGATCCAAGTCCAAGACGCACAGAGAGCTCCCTTCAAAATCAACAAAAATAGGTCAACACCACAACATATCTTAGTGAAACTGCCAAATTACAAAGCTAAAAAGAGAATTCTGAAAGCAGCTGGGAACAAAAAGCCCTTCACCTACAAGGTAGACACAAAGTCAGTAGGAGGCCTGTCCACTGAAACTTGGCAGGCTAGAAGGAGTGGCACAGATATTCAATGCACTGAATAGGAAAAATATGCAGCCACAAATCCTTTATCCAGCAAGGCTGCCATTCAGAATAGAAGGAAAGATAAAGACTTTTTCCAGACAAACAAGAACTAAAGGAGTTCGTTACCACTAAACCAGCCCTGCAAGAAATTTTAAGGGGGACTCTCCGGAGGGGAAAAAAAAAAAAAAAAAAAAAAGATGACCAAAAGCAACAAAGACTAGAAAGGACCAGAGAACATCAACCAGAAACATCTCTACAGGTAACAAAATGGCACTAAATTCTTATCTTTCAGTAATCACTAAATATAAATGGAATAATTGATCAAATCAAAAGACATAGGATATCAGTATGGATAAAAAACGAGATCCATTATATGCTGCCTACAGGAGACTCATTTTAGACCTAGAGACACCTGCAGATTGAAAGTGAGGGGATGGAAAACCATTTATCATGTTGATGGAGGTCAAAAGAAAGCCAGAGTAACCATACTTACATCAGACAATCTAGATTTTAGAATAAAAACTGTAACAAGAGATGAAGAAAGGCATTATATCACAATTAAGGGGTGTATCCATCAAGAAAATCTAACCATTGTAAATATTTATGCCCCCAACTTGGAAGTACTCAACTATATAAATCAATTACTCACAAACATGAAGAAACTCATTGATAATAACACCGTAATAGTAGGAGACTTTATTACTCCACTTATAGCAATGGACAGATCATCTAAGCAGAAAATCAACAAGGAAACAATGGCTTTGAATAATACACTGAACCAGATGGACTTAACAGATATATTCAGAACATTTCGTCCTAAAGCAGCAGAATACACATTCTTCTCAAGTGCACATGAAACATTCTCCAGAATAGATCACCTACTGGGTCACAAATCAGCCCTCCAAAGGCACAAAATGATTGAGATCATACCATGCATATTTGCAGATCATCACGCTATGAAACTTGAAATCAACCACAAGAAAAAATTTGGAAAGCTCTCAAATATATGGAAGTTAAAGAACATCCTACTAAAGTATGAATGGGTTAACCAGGAAATTAAAGAAGAAATAAAAAATACATGGAAGCAAACAAAAATGAAAACATGACTCTGAAAACCCTTTGGGATACAGGAAAGTTGGTCATAAGAGGAAAAATACATTGCAATTCAGTCCTGTCTCAAGACCAAGAAAGGTCTCAAATACATAACCTAACCTTACACCTAAAGGAGCTAGAAAAGGAACAGCAAATAAAGCCCAAAATTAGCAGAAGGGAAATAATAAAGATTAGAGCAGAAGTAAACGATGTAGAAACAAACAAACAAACAGTAAAACAGATCAATGAAACTAAAAGCTAGTTTTTTGTCGGGGCGCCTGGGTGGCTTAGTCAGTTAGCTTTCTGACTTTGGCTCAGGTCATTATCTCACAGTCCATGGTTTTGAGCCCTGCTTTGAGCTCTGTGCTGACAGCTTAGAGCCAGGAGCCTGCTTCAGATTCTTTATCTCCTTGTCTCTCAGCCCCTCCTCCACTCTCACTTTGTCTCTCTTTCTCTCAAAACTAAATAAACATTGAAAAAAATTTTAATAAATAAAATAAAAGCTAGTTTTTTGAAAAAAGAAATAAAATTGATAAATCCCTAGCCAGACTTCTCAAAAAGAAAAGAGAGAGGACCCAAATAGATAAAATCATGAAGGAAAGAGGAGAGACCACAACGAACACCAAAGCAATGCAATAAGAGAATGCTATGAAAAATTATATGCTAACAAACTGAACAACCTGGAAGAGTAGGAAATTTCCTAGAAACTCAGACACTACCAAAACTCAAACAGGAAGAAACAGAAATTTGAACAGGCCCATACCAGCAAAGGAATTAAATCAATTATCAAAAATCTCTCAACAAATAAGATTCATGGGCCAGATGGCTTCCCAGGGAATTCTACCAGACATTTAAAGAAGAGTTAATACCTATTCTTCTCAAACTGTTTGAAAAAATAGAAATGGAAGGCAGGCTTCCAAACTCATTCTATGAAGCCAACATTACCTTGATTCCCAAACCAGACAAAGACCCCACTAAAAAGGAGAATTACAGGCCAATATCCCTGCGGGACCTGGATGTAAAAATTCTCAACAAGATACTAGTAAATTGAATTCAACTATACATTAAAAGAATCATTCACTCTGATCAAGTAGGATTTATTCCTGGGCTGTAGGGCTGGTTCAATACTTGTAAATCGATCAGTGTGATCTACCATATTAATAAAAGAAAGGATAAGAACCATATGATCTTCTCAATAGATGCAGAACAATCATTTGACAAAGTACAGCATTTTTTTCTTGGTAAAAGCCCTCAAGAAAGTAGGGATAGAATGAACATACATTAATTCATAAAAGCCATATATGAAAGACTGACGGCCATATCATCCTCAATGGGGAAAAACTGAGAGCTTCCCCTCTAAGGTCAGGAACATGATAGGGATGTCCACTCTCACCACTTTTGTTCAACATAGTACTGGAAATCCTAGCCTCAGCAATCAGACGACAAAAAAGAAATAAAAGGCACACAAATTGGCAAAGAAGTCAAACTTTCATTCTTTGCAGATGACATGATACTATAGATGGAAAACCTGGGAGACTCCATCAAAAAACTGCTAGAACTGATACCTGAATTCAGGAGTCACAGGATATAAGATCAATGTACAGAAATGGGTTGCATTAGTATATACTAATAATAAAGCAGCAGAATGAGAAATCAAGGAATTGATCCCATTTATGGTTGTACCAAAGACCGTAAGATACCTAGAAATAAACCTAACCAGAGAAGTAACAGATCTGTATGCTGAAAACTATAGAAAACTATGGACTCCATCATCAACTTATGTTTGGTTAAAAAAGGTGTAGCATATATGTATATAAAATGGAATATAAAAGAGTGAAATCTCGCCATTTGCAATGACATTGATGGATCTAGAGTGTATGATGCTAAGCGAAATAAGTCAGTCAGAGAAAGACCAATACCATATGATTTCACTCATATGTGGAATTTAAGAAACAAAATAAAACCAGCAAGGAAAAAAAAGAGTGAGAGAGTAAGAGAGGCAAATCAAGAAGAGACTCAACTATAGAGAACAAACTGATGGTTACCAGAGAGGCGATGGGTGGGAGGATGGATAGAATAAGTGATGGGGATCACTTGCTGTGATGAGCACCAGGTGTTGTATGGAAGTGTTGAATCACTAAATTGTACACTTGAAACTAATATCGCACCTTATGCTAACTGACTGGAATTTAAATAAAACCTTTACAAAAATGGCACAGGCTCTTTTGAAAAGCAAATT